CATAGCAAGACCACTTAATGTTATCTCACATATATATTATTATTCTTATTATAGCAAAATTTGCCACCCTAACTCCTCCCACAGTTTTTACACTGCATAGACAAAAATTTACCAAAACGTGCAGATTGTTCCCGATCGGATTGCTATTACTTTGTGGAACGTTTCGCCGAATGGTTCATGAAATATCGTCGTTCTTGTGGCGCAATTTGTCCCATAGGAATGAATGGCAAAGCTAGAGTGGGAGCTGGCAAAAGCTGAAAAATCATGACATGATTTCTAAACTGCCACCACTCCCTTATTTTCAGGCCCACCTACACAAATCTTATATCAAAACGTTCAGCTATCCCTGCTGCCATTAAACATGTCAACGGCTAAGCCATAGTCCTGATAGTTTTCACAATATAAGCATTTGTTTGCAACTAACGCCGTCCATTGACATTCATTGAAACTTCACTCTACAAAGCTCAAATTTGAAGTGCAATTTCTAAACTGCGACTGTGCCTTCATTTTTAATACTTCAGAGACATACTATACATCACAACATTGTAACTCATGCAAAGCTTGTAAGAATCAAAGATTTATAAAGAAAAAGGAATTTAATAGTACAGTTACAAAAGAAAAATTCAAAATGAAATCCAACATAAATTGTAACACTAAAAATGTAGTGTACATGTTACAATGCCCATGCGGGAAACAGTATGTAGGCAGAACTTGCAAGAAATTAAAAGAAAGAATATTAGAACAACAGAATAATATCCGAAAAAAATTAACTAAACATATTGTTCCAATCCATTGTAACAACTGCAGCAGGTTCAGCTGGTCAGATTTTTCCTTCATGGGCATTGAACATGTTGAACCCTATTGGAGAGGGGCAATCTTGCCAAGAGACTCTCACAGAGAGAGACTTTTTGGATTAATAAATTAAAAACTTTGCAGCCTTATGGGTTAAATTTAGATATAGATTTGTGGAGCTTTTTTGAAGAATAAAAAATCTTTTTGTGTATCTTCTTTTCTATACCTCTTTTTGTAGATATTGTAAATATTGCATTTTTTCTATGGCTAATAAGATTACAATAAGATCTCTTATGTAGATCCAGGTTGCTATCTCTATTTACGAAAATTAATATACATTTCAAATTTGATATTAAAAAAAATAAAAAAAACTTTTAGGGTTTAATAAATTGAAAAAAATGGAATTTATAATAAGCAAATTGTTCAGAATCTTTAAATTAACGAATGGCATTTCTTGAAGTTGGAAGAAATTGTGGAGGCAAGTAGTAAAAAACTGCCTCCCTCTCCCTTATATGAAAATCAAATAAACACACAATATGATTTATAATGTTATAACTATATAGAGTGGAGAAAGTATTCCTTCTAATATAGTTCTTGCAAAAACCACTCACATGGTTTAAAAAAAGCAATGGGAAGAATGCAATATACATTTGGGTATTGCACCTCTGTTCACTTTCTGAATATTTGTGCTCTTGAAAGAAAATTTAAATTTTTATACATATTTTTATATATAATATAATTTTCTGTATATCATTTTTTATATGTATTTTTTCATATATATTTTTTGTATTCATTATTTTTTTATGTATGCACTTTATTAATATAGGTAATGAGAATGATGATAATTCATTTTTATCTTTAAGTATTAAATTTGTTTGATGCAGAGTGAAATATTTACTACCCCTTCCTTTTATTCCCTGTTTCCACCAAACTATAATTATATGCCTGGCTGAGATCGAGCAGTGAGCAACAAGACAGAAACCCTCAACTAACTTCCGGGTTTCGGCAAAGGAACGCATGCGTCATCGGACGCGATGACTTCATAATACCGGAAAATCGGTCCGGAGCACAGAAAAGAAACACCTGCAAAAGATCACTCATTATGTGGACACTGAAGGGAAAACACCTGCAAAAGATCACTCATTATGTGGACACTGAAGGGATATATAAGAACTGGGGAGGGAGGGAAATTTTTATTGTTCATTGTTTATTTGTACCTGTTGATCACACACCATACAAGTCCCTGAGGAAGTCCTATTTGGTTGGATGAAACGCGTAGGAGCCCTGGTGGTGACATAGAGGGACTACACTGATGATTTTATATCTTGATGTAAGTTATTAAATACTTTTTTGTACTTCACTCTGAATGGGCATCTTATATTCTTTTATATACATTTCTTTCCTGAGCACATACATGCCAATATAGCTATGGAGATTTTAACCCAGACAGAGGATTTGGAATTCCTATTTTGAAAAGGAAAATATTCAAGGCTTGCAAACTTCAGCAAAAGTGTGAGTGGCCATTTGTGAATATAACTACAATTTGTCATCATACACAGTTATACGCTATGTTGTTTTATTTATGATTGGTTCAGCAGATCATCCCCCTTTTTTTGCTTGTGTTGTGTGGAAGACAAGAGGAAGTCTTTTGGGATACTATTGGAAATCTTATCCTATACAGGAAAGTTCCTTTCTGTTGATATAAATTAAGCACTTATTACACTGTGGTGGGTGTTCACACACACATTGTTTCTTTCTATACATCACAATGTAGGTCTGGGTCTTGTGATTCCCACAATATAAAGCTCTTCGCTGTAGGATTTATAGTTTTTAAAATACGACCGTTTGAAGATGGCAACCGCCAAAATACTCTGACCTGTGCCAGGCTGCAGCAGCAAGTGATGTCATAGACAGGGCCTTTTGAACACCTGCTAATGTTTTTATAAATGTATGGTTTAATGTAACTGTGCAACAACATTGCAATTAAATGTGCTATATAAATGATAACAGTTACTCCGCCCACTCCAGTTGTAGACTACTGGTGGAGGCAAGAACACTTCACACAATTTCCCCAGAAATTGTAGCTTTTCTAGTTTAATATTGTTTTTATTATGATATATTTAGTACTTAAGTACATTAGGCGCTATTGCCCACACTACATATGGACGTTTTTAACTCGTGAGGGCAATAGAACATTGTTCCGGCCGCACGCTGCGTGCGCATACCCGGATGTCAAATTTCAACCCGGAAGTGGATAGACCTCCGACTGCGACCCGGAAGTGAGGCGCAAAGATGCCGCGAAAATTCAACCAAAGAGGGATATAAAACGCTCATACAGCTGGTGAACTTTTATTCTGCACTGAGGAAGACTTGCTCAAAGTCGAAATGCGTTTCCATTCCGTTTGTTTTATTTGGATTTTATACTCTGCGGCAGTGTATGTATTTTCTGCACGCTGCATACATATGTCCTTTTTATTATAGTGTTTTATATATTTATATCAATAAATAATGTTGTACCTGCTGTGGATCTAGCCTGGA